TATATTATACCCTAATAGTTTTGTTATGATAAAAACAAATATGAATATTTAAATATAAAATCAGATCGTCTTATTCTATTGAACTTTAAAAAATCTCTAGGAATTCAGAAAGCTCTAGGTTTATTACTAGCGATCGTAATTACACATTTCTAATTTGTAATTAAAAACTGTCGTAATCGATCGTTCATAATACTTTCTAATCATAACGAAAAAAATGTGGACTGCTTATTCTAATTTAATGATAAAGATTATCAAAATTGTCTTGTAATAGTTTCACGATATTCGTAATAATAATACCTTTTTTAAATTATTAAATAATAATAATAATGAATAAAAAGGCGCAATTAATAACATACAGACCAAATTACTAATTGCGCGAATTTTATTGTTTTCAGTTTTCGAAGAAAAGTCTAAAGGGAAATCCTGCATTGAGTTGTAAATGCTAATAACGAGTACAATCGTCATTAAGTCCGACCTTACTCGAGATAGGCACACGACCACCAAAATTTAATAGCATCAACTCACTAATACATAAACAACTATATGTACAGAAACCTCCTCCCCGAATTTTCTGTATTTCTCGACGTTTCAAGGTCCCCTGAATCCAAAAGTAAAAATCTTGGGTTACTTTTTGCTCGATCGCCATACTTTTCCTCAGCTATATATCAGAACCGGGAAAGTAAAAAACTAGGGACACCACAAATTATAAAAAAGGGCATTGTACCGTACGTACAATATATATACTGTATATACAGGTATTCCTTGATTAACNTAAAAATCTTGGGTTACTTTTTGCTCGATCGCCATACTTTTCCTCAGCTATATATCAGAACCGGGAAAGTAAAAAACTAGGGACACCACAAATTATAAAAAAGGGCATTGTACCGTACGTACAATATATATACTGTATATACAGGTATTCCTTGATTAACGCAGTTAATTCCTCGATGTTACCTCGTTAATCAAATACAGTGGTACCTCGGTACTCGACCGAACGATTGCGACAATCCAGAACAAATATTTTAATTTTGTCATCAGTAAACAGTTTTCTGTGATAAAAATGAATAACTACTTTAAAAATAAAATGAAACCTTAGAGCTTCCTTGGGGATTAAGAAAAGGGCAACCCGACAACAAAGGGACACACACCCCAAGTGACCCAATGTATGGACTCCCATGACACCGCGTGACTTCATAGTATCGGGATAAAACTGAGGCGGAGTGTTGCGTTTTTGTAATTAAATTTTTTTAAATTTAGTAATACTACATATAAATTATTTTTTGTTCCATCGAACCCGAGCACTGACAGGTTTGAATGTGTAAGGGCGTGTGTGATCAACGTTTGCTCGCCACACGAGAAGGCGATCCTTACGTCTCGTTCAAATATCAAGTTACCTAAATTCAAGTCGGTGTTCATATTATTTGTATAAACAAGTAGATATTTAAAATGGCACCAAAGGAACTAAATTCAAATAACTTTAATGTAAACGAGCCTTTACATTCGCTTGGTGTCGAGTGCTTTGTTCTTTTGTTTCGTTCGTTTTTGGCGCCCATTTTCCATTTGGTGCGCGCAATGCTGTTTTTCCCCGAATTCCAGTGGCGTCAGGGAGCATAGACATTGTCACTTTGACTCGTCTGTATCTCATAATTGCCCGTTTTTCATTGCATTTTGGGATTCCTCGTCGCAATTAGGCTAATGGAAAATACAAAGTTTAATCAAAATCTATCAATCAAATTTTGAGAATAAATACAGTTCAGTAAGTCACATGGAAGATGCTTTACTAACGCTCCGCCGCAATTAGAATTTAAAAAAAAAAAATCGCATTTTGTATTTAAAATGAATAAATAAACTGTAGACCAGGGGTAGCCAACAGTTTTTGTCCCCGGGCCGATTTGGAAACAAAACTTTTTTCACGGGCCGAACCAAAGGCTGCCCTAGGAAGATTTTGAGGTGGTGCGAGATCTCATTGTGGTGTCACCCCGTAGAGATTGAATTGTAGATAGAGATTTACATTATTCACATTATCATGCTTTATCAACACTCTACACTGTACAGTACCTACGAGATTTGTAATGGAAGGTTAACTCTAAACGCACAGTGAGTTATTGACCTGTTTTATTTATTTTTTTTTTTACTTATTCGGACTTCAATACCTAATATTGAAAGATTGATCGCGGGCCACATAAATTCATCAGACGGGCCGGATCTGGCCCGCGGGCCGTATGTTGGCCATGCCTGCTGTAGGCTATTGTTTTAAGTTAATTTTTAAAAATATGGAGACTGGAAACAACTTTTAGGGTGGAAAAAGAGTGTCCTTGTTATGTGAGTCCATATATATCGCCGGCCTATACAAACTCAAATCTATTAGTACTAAAAACACGAGTGATCACGTGTTCCTAAAAAGTGTAATGTATAACTAACTTATAAGAAGGAAATATATTTCACCGGGTCAAAAATTTAATTTCTAACATCTTCGATGTAAAATAAAAAATATGCGTTTATAATAACTCCAAGCATGATAGCAAAATCTATTGTAACTTTGGGTTAAATTGTGTATTTTAAGTAATCTGTAGCCTACAGATATATGCTACAGATTACTTTGGAATATTGTATCTGCAAGGTTTACATGTATATTTTATTTTGTTAAAAAATAATTCGATAATATATTTTACAATTTTTGTTACGTGAAAATGTAATAAGAAAAAGTCTAAAAAAAATGTATTTTTGTCACATTAAGTGTGAAAAATAGTGTGGATAATTATGAAAGTACAATATGTTATGTTTTTAGTCAAAACTTTATTAAAATATTTATAAATCGTGTTGCAAAGTTTCTTTAGGAAATTATGGAAACTTTTCTGTAATTTTTCCTACAATAACTCATTAAATATTTTTAAAATCAAATTATTAATTAAATATCCCGATTGAGAAAAGGTAATAGATAAAACTACATTTTCTTTATGCAATTTAAGGTTAGATAAGCACAAAACTTCACTAAGACTATTCGATTTACGATTATAAGTGATCATAAAATGAACATTTCGTATAATCTGTGAAGTTATGATAAACAGTAGCCTACAGAAATGTAAATTAAGAGTCGATAATGCTGTAAATTGTGATTTTCAAGATTCTAATGAGTGTTAATAAATTATATATGTCCCGAATGTAATTATTTTAAAAAAATAATAGAATATTCGTCTTAAAAATAAATTAAAATCGAATATTATATAAGATTTTTCTCATTAATTATAATCAATCAATCAAAACTTAGTTTGCATGTTGTAACTTTAATGCACATCCTATGGTTGTCATAGCAGCCACCATTAAAATATTTTGATATGTTTGCCCGGATTAAGTAAATCTTGTTTCTTTAACATGAAACGTTTCCAACAAGACAGAAATTAATATTCTTTTATTCGAGTTTTAATTTTGTGTATAATATCAGGTAACCGTTATTTATAAATTTAATATTGATTTACGCAAAAAGTAAAAATGTATTTTTTCCGAATATATTTTAAATACTTAAAGGCTCGATAAGAAATATTCATATTGAATATTTAATTCATGTTTCTTTAATGTTTAATTCATATATTCATTCATTTACATTCTTATCAAATCTATTATAATTTGATGATTTATTNAAATTAGGTCCTATTTAGATGCTACACATTTGAAGAAAACCCAGAAAACTTGATATGATCACTCAGGTGTTAACTCAAGTTCACACCCGAATGATTACCAACTGCCAGTGTTCAGTGGTTTTATTCACTTGGCCATTGGTGGACATGAATTACTAGAGAGAAATGTAAAATTGAATTACAAATTTTGTATTGTCAATAAAGAAAAACCATTGTTATTTATGTTAAAAATTTTGAGTATGAATGTGCTTCACTTTATGAAAGACTTCAATAATTAGAAAATAAATTAGATTAAGTTTTTTAATTAAAATTGAAAAGATTAATTTGAAACTTTTCAATTCATTTTATAAATAAATGTATTGATATAAGAAAAAATGCCATAATTTCTACTTATTGCTGACTATGGCATATTTGATGATATAGAACTCTTAATTCTCACTAAAATAAAAAGATTTTTGCTAATCAGGATCAATTAGTAGTGCCATTATTTAATTAAACAAAATTAAACATACGTTTTACCAAAATATTTGATTTTTATTTCTTATGAAAATATATGTTAAATATGATGATATTTAATTATTAAATATTTTTGGCAAATGACTGAATATTTGCCTTGATTTGTAGCTTTGAAGTAAAATATTGTTAAACATTAAAAATTAATATTATTGGTAATTATATTTAAAATAAGTAATATAAATGGAAATTTCTGTGTTTAGGAATGCAACATAATAATAATAATAATAATTCATTTTTTCAGAAACAGAATAGGAGATCCTATGGATGATTTTGCTCGTGAGTTATTAGAATACAGACGGGAACAACAGCATAGACCACACTCTAGATATCATTCAAGATCGCGTTCGTCGTCGTCTCATTCTTATAATAGTTCAAAATCATGGCCACATTCTGGATCACGATCTATATCTCATTCTTGTTCAAGGTCACGTTCTCGTTCATTTAGTAGTCGATCTAGATCTCGCTCAAGATTACGTTCTAGATCTAGATCATTTTCTAGATCATCTCATTCAAGATCAAGAAGCATAAGTAGATCTAGATCTAGGTCTAGAGGAAGAACTTCCCCACACCAACGTTCTAGATCAAATTCTCCGAAAAATTTTGTTAGATATATTCCAAGGTCGCCCTATCATCAAAAGAAGGATTATGCTACAAATTTTTACAATCCAACATACCCTGCCTCATATACAGGTTCCATTCCACATCACAATATTCCTATAGAACACTATGCTGATAGGTCAAGATATTATCGCGATCAATATAGAGTTTATGAGGAATATCACAATCCATATAATAGTCCTAGATACGAACAACATGACCAGCGGTATGATAATAAATATATGCATGAGTATCCGAGATTCGATGAGATTCAGCACAGGGCAAGAAGTCGCGAATTAGAAAAATCCGAAAGACCAAGAATTAGCGAAAATACTTACAGAAGAGAGAATGCATCAAAATCAAATACAGAAAAGAAGATAAAAGAAAGTGAATCAAAAGAGAATGCAGATAATTTTGCTAAAAATAAAAAGAAGGATGAAAAAGTTAAACATAAGAAACATCATCATAAAAACCGCGAAAATAAAAAAGAGGTTAAACACGAAGTGGAGCATAAGAAGAGAGAACTAGTGGATGATTCAAATAAGCCTGAGCTGATTGATACGCAAATAAAAACTGTAACTGAAACAATGGAAGAACAAAAAGCAGTTCCGGTTCATGAAGTTAAGGAAAAAAAGCATAAACACAAAAAGAAAAAAGACAGTGAAGAAAAGAAAAAGAAAAAAGTAACTCATAATCCGAATGAACCGGAAAAACCCACCAAAACTAAAAAGAAAAAAGCAAAAAAAGAAAATGAAAAAACTCATCAGAAATCCCAGTCAGTGGAAAAATCAGAAAAAATTCCTATAAACGAAGATTTAAGTAATAAAGTTAACATTCAGAATGAAATCGTTTTAGAAGAAAATGTTTCTGTTCCAAAAGAATCCGATGTCTTAAAACAAAAAGTTAATATCGAAGAAGTTAAACCAATAGCATTAATGAAAGATGTTCTTCCTCCATTAGAACAAATTATAGAAGAAAAACCTGAAATTAAGCCTACTTTTGAACCTATTGAAGAACCGAAAATTATCTTAATGGATAATGCTGATGAAAATGTTTATAAAAACGAAAACGAGACAACTGTAGAAAATACTGATGAAAAAGTGTTGTCACCCGAACAAATAGAATTATCTCCTAGAGAACCGGAACATCGCGATGTGATTCCAACTGTTAGTGAAGCAAGTGCTCCAGAAATAAGTTTTGAATTACCCGAGATATCTAAATGGGAAAGGGAAGAGTTCGAAGAAGAAGAAAAATCTTCAAATGATGATTCCAATTCTTTGCAAAAAGAGATGAGATCTTCGCTGTCTTCTGATATTATTCAAAGAGCAGAAAAGGCAATTTTACAAAAAGCCCTTAAGACTGCAATTGTAGGTCCTCCAGTTTCCAGAGAGAAGCATACTTACAGAGGAATGGATCGAAAAACAGAAAAATCATCAAGAGTCGCAGAAGCGCCTAAAGATACTGTCCTAGTCGTATCCAGTATGAAAGATAAAGAAAAAAGTAAAGAACAATCAATAGACAAAGAAACAAAATCAAAAGATAAGTCTGAAGAAGCTTCGCTTCAGATCACTATATCTGCAGAAAAGAACAAACGATCAGTGCAAACGACTAAAGTGAAAAGCAGTAGTTCCAAAGACAAATTATCAGATAATTCTCAGATTAAGAAATTAAAATTAGACAGATCCAAATTTTTAGAAAAGAGTAAAAATGAAGCATCATTAAAACATTTTATTAACGAAGGAATGACAGCCGAAAAAGTATTCTCAAACGATAGTTCGAAAGAATTTAGCAGCAAAAGTCTTCCTAGAAGAAAAGATAAAATTATTATATGTAAAATAGAAAAGGATAGGAGATTTAATTTAGAAAATGATCAAGAAAAACAAAGTAGTCACGAAGAAGAAAGTGATTCTAGATCAAGAAACGTTTCTAGTAAAAAATCCCCCAGAAGATCAAAACCTGCCGACAGTAATTCATTTTTCACAAAACGAACATACGAACATAATGATCATAAACGTGAGATAAGTGATAGTTCGGAAAGGGAATCGAAATCAAGAGAATCGCACGTCGATCACGACAGTGAGAAACGGTCATCTCATTCTAAACGAGTAATTAATTTAGATGAAAAAATAAGAAGAAAAGAAGAAGTAGAAAGGTCATCGTCGAGAGATTATAAAGATAACCCTGTTTCATATCACAGAGAGAGAGAAAAATATCGAGAAGAACCATCTAACGTTAATGTAGAAAAAGAAGAAAGATCGCGCTCTAGAAGTTTAGATTCTGGTCAAAGCATCGATAATAAACAACTCCACTCTTCCACACAAGATAGAAGCGACGATAGAAAGAAAAGAGTTCCGAAAAGAAGGATAAGTAGCCATAGCTCCACTGCTGAAATAAAACAGAAAGAAAAGGCTGTATTTAGTGAACGAATGAAAGCACCAAAGCATTCAAATATCGATAGTAGAGGTTTCCAAGAACCACATGTTAGAAACCGAAAGGAATCGCTACACGACGAATCGAAATTTGAGCCTAATTACGACGAAACTAGTGAATCCGAACAAAGTAGTGACACGGAGGCAAAAATTAGGAGATCCAGGCATAACGAAGAGAAATCAAGGAAACATGTAGATCAAATTCTCGTTACGAGAACAAGTGATAATGAAATAGAAAGAGAGAAAGCGAGACAAGCTGCTTTCAGACACGAACATCATAGAGATAAAGTAGAGGTGAAGAAAAGAGAAAGGTCTGTTAGTCCACAGAGTTCTTCGGGAAGTTCGCCGTGTAGCAACTTTTCCGATGTCGATAAATCTTCCGCGAAAAGACACAAAAGCGAAACACCCGATTCAGACTTAAAATTAAGACATAGGAAATCTAAACACAAAAAGCACAAAAAACATAAGCGGAAACATAAGAAAAGGAAAAGTCATAAATACAGAGAGAGATGATCTTTTTCTTAAAAATGCCGTCTTAAAAATACTTACATTATAATGCGTGATTTTTGACACGTTACACGGAAAAAGAATCGACACACATATTGGTTGTGTTACACAAGTTGTGTATGAGTTGAATTTCTGCCGATATGCGAGTCTAAAAGATTCTCTAACATTAATATTCTTTTAGTAATATACAAAATTATATGTACAAAACATAGTTTACGTGGCCATTAATTTCTCATGAAAATTGTAAGTGACTTTGATAAATGAAATCGTCTTGCGAGTGAATAAATGCAGTATTTTGTTCGGTTGAATTTTATATATGTGTAGTATATATAAAATTCATTTCATTTGTAAAGGCAGCAGGTTGGCATATGGGAATGCCAAATGCATTCTTATTAATATTGTATTGTAGAAAATTGTGTAAATAAATGTTTTGACAAAAAACAAAAAAATCGTCATTTTATTATTTGATCTGTTGAAATAAATTTTTTTTTTTTTTTTATAAACTGACTAAAACCACTTTCAATGGTTCATTTGAATTTTTAAATNATCATTGTCTGTATATATATATATATATATATATTTAAATTGCTAACTGCTTCAAAATATTTGGAATCTATTTAATCTTCATAGTATGAAATGGATGAATTATCTAATAGTTTTGTTATGATAAAAACAAATATGAATATTTAAATATAAAATCAGATCGTCTTATTCTATTGAACTTTAAAAAATCTCTAGGAATTCAGAAAGCTCTAGGTTTATTACTAGCGATCGTAATTACACATTTCTAATTTGTAATTAAAAACTGTCGTAATCGATCGTTCATAATACTTTCTAATCATAACGAAAAAAATGTGGACTGCTTATTCTAATTTAATGATAAAGATTATCAAAATTGTCTTGTAATAGTTTCACGATATTCGTAATAATAATACCTTTTTTAAATTCATTGCTTAATTAAATTTATTTAATATTACTGAAATAATTTTTAGCTGACTGTCATATATATAACAAGTGAAAGTCGTATATGTTTTTTTGTATTACGTACAGTACATGATTTCAATAAACTGATATTTGCAAGTTAATGCAAAGAATAATAAATAAAATACATATTCGTGAAGATATTTCGTTCAAAATTACGATATTCATGAATGTTCGAGAAACTATATGAAAACCAATGTAAAAAATGAGTTGGATATATGGAGTTAAAAGTGGATTTTACGTTTTTGTATATGATAACACACTTTNAATTCAAATAACTTTAATGTAAACGAGCCTTTACATTCGCTTGGTGTCGAGTGCTTTGTTCTTTTGTTTCGTTCGTTTTTGGCGCCCATTTTCCATTTGGTGCGCGCAATGCTGTTTTTCCCCGAATTCCAGTGGCGTCAGGGAGCATAGACATTGTCACTTTGACTCGTCTGTATCTCATAATTGCCCGTTTTTCATTGCATTTTGGGATTCCTCGTCGCAATTAGGCTAATGGAAAATACAAAGTTTAATCAAAATCTATCAATCAAATTTTGAGAATAAATACAGTTCAGTAAGTCACATGGAAGATGCTTTACTAACGCTCCGCCGCAATTAGAATTTAAAAAAAAAAAATCGCATTTTGTATTTAAAATGAATAAATAAACTGTAGACCAGGGGTAGCCAACAGTTTTTGTCCCCGGGCCGATTTGGAAACAAAACTTTTTTCACGGGCCGAACCAAAGGCTGCCCTAGGAAGATTTTGAGGTGGTGCGAGATCTCATTGTGGTGTCACCCCGTAGAGATTGAATTGTAGATAGAGATTTACATTATTCACATTATCATGCTTTATCAACACTCTACACTGTACAGTACCTACGAGATTTGTAATGGAAGGTTAACTCTAAACGCACAGTGAGTTATTGACCTGTTTTATTTATTTTTTTTTTTACTTATTCGGACTTCAATACCTAATATTGAAAGATTGATCGCGGGCCACATAAATTCATCAGACGGGCCGGATCTGGCCCGCGGGCCGTATGTTGGCCATGCCTGCTGTAGGCTATTGTTTTAAGTTAATTTTTAAAAATATGGAGACTGGAAACAACTTTTAGGGTGGAAAAAGAGTGTCCTTGTTATGTGAGTCCATATATATCGCCGGCCTATACAAACTCAAATCTATTAGTACTAAAAACACGAGTGATCACATGTTCCTAAAAAGTGTAATGTATAACTAACTTATAAGAAGGAAATATATTTCACCGGGTCAAAAATTTAATTTCTAACATCTTCGATGTAAAATAAAAAATATGCGTTTATAATAACTCCAAGCATGATAGCAAAATCTATTGTAACTTTGGGTTAAATTGTGTATTTTAAGTAATCTGTAGCCTACAGATATATGCTACAGATTACTTTGGAATATTGTATCTGCAAGGTTTACATGTATATTTTATTTTGTTAAAAAATAATTCGATAATATATTTTACAATTTTTGTTACGTGAAAATGTAATAAGAAAAAGTCTAAAAAAAATGTATTTTTGTCACATTAAGTGTGAAAAATAGTGTGGATAATTATGAAAGTACAATATGTTATGTTTTTAGTCAAAACTTTATTAAAATATTTATAAATCGTGTTGCAAAGTTTCTTTAGGAAATTATGGAAACTTTTCTGTAATTTTTCCTACAATAACTCATTAAATATTTTTAAAATCAAATTATTAATTAAATATCCCGATTGAGAAAAGGTAATAGATAAAACTACATTTTCTTTATGCAATTTAAGGTTAGATAAGCACAAAACTTCACTAAGACTATTCGATTTACGATTATAAGTGATCATAAAATGAACATTTCGTATAATCTGTGAAGTTATGATAAACAGTAGCCTACAGAAATGTAAATTAAGAGTCGATAATGCTGTAAATTGTGATTTTCAAGATTCTAATGAGTGTTAATAAATTATATATGTCCCGAATATAATTATTTTAAAAAATAATAGAATATTCGTCTTAAAAATAAATTAAAATCGAATATTATATAAGATTTTTCTCATTAATTATAATCAATCAATCAAAACTTAGTTTGCATGTTGTAACTTTAATGCACATCCTATGGTTGTCATAGCAGCCACCATTAAAATATTTTGATATGTTTGCCCGGATTAAGTAAATCTTGTTTCTTTAACATGAAACGTTTCCAACAAGACAGAAATTAATATTCTTTTATTCGAGTTTTAATTTTGTGTATAATATCAGGTAACCGTTATTTATAAATTTAATATTGATTTACGCAAAAAGTAAAAATGTATTTTTTCCGAATATATTTTAAATACTTAAAGGCTCGATAAGAAATATTCATATTGAATATTTAATTCATGTTTCTTTAATGTTTAATTCATATATTCATTCATTTACATTCTTATCAAATCTATTATAATTTGATGATTTATTTATATAAATATTAGCTCTATATTGAAAGTTCATTTAATTATTACTATAGGCTTATAAATTAATAAGAATTTAATAATATAATTTTTATATGTAACCTTATCATAACATTATAAATTTTAAAGACACAATTTATTTGGTTTATTCATGCAATGTTTAATCATTTTTATTATTGGGCTACAATTTAAAAAATTGTAGACCTAAAAATTCCCACTGTTGTCTGTTTGTCTGTCCTTTCTTAATCTCGAGAATGAAGTAAGTTAGATGAGAGTCGAGACCAGACATAGAAATCTTGGGGGCACGAGGCCTCGATTAACTACAGTATATACAATCTTTCGTTGCAAACCAGAAGTTATGTTATTTCAATTTCAACATTTTTCCATGAAAGGAATTAGATAGATGATCGGCACGACTCTATTGTAATAGGAAAGGTATAATATACAGGGACAAGACATTACTAATTTGAGGTTAGCAGCATACATTTTAAATTAAATAAATTAAAAATTGTAGCCTGGCATTGTGATGATGTCACAATAAATATTTGGTCGTTGATTCTGGAAATTAATTTTTGTCTATCAATTAATATAATTTATGTAACTTAGTCATAATTGTGTATAGTTTTTGTTGTAACACTAATTCTAGATCATCGGCCTTGATAAAAATTTAACTAGACTATTTTATTACAGATATTATTTTGTAACTTTTGTTCTCTTACGCACAACACTTAAATAAAATTTTCAATTATAAAAGATAGAAATATATCATTTTGAAGATGGACTTTAATCTCATAAAATTCGAAAGATATTTGAATTTTTGGAAAATGCGATGAAATTATTAAAATAATAGTTAAAGGTCGCTTAGGAATGTCCGTTTGTTAAGCTAGAAGGCAATAAATTATAATTCCGAGGACGACAACGACGACTCTCTTGATAATTACAAAGGAAACAGATAATTATAGTTGATTATTATGCTACTTTAACTTCTATCAAATGAGTGTTTTTTATTATAATTAGCAATATAGCCTACATGCTAACGTTAGAATGTTTAACTTTAAATTATAAAACTAATATAGAAACATAAACCAGAAGAGAGAATTCTAGATATTGCGTTATATACTATGTTACAAAACGAACAAAATTTTTATTGCTATCGCTACGTAACTTAAATGAATTAGTAAAACCTCATTAATCTTTCGTGGGCGATCTGCCTCGGATATATCAAGCCCGACCACTTCATTGTGGTCCTGACCCATGAAGGGTATAAAATTACTCTATATAATTAAAAAAATTGTCTCACGTCTCATATAGTGTGCATTTTTAGTTTACTTTTTTAAAACCAGAATACAGAAAAATATTGATGCAGGATAGTTTAAATACACTAAATCTTTTACCCTAAATATTCTGCGTTGAAACAATAGTGCATCTTTTATGTCCATACGTCTTAATGCCGTAAAATACGGTAAATTTGTATTAAATGAAATTTATTGCCCTCCTTTAACATTATTGCATATCATTAAATTTATTTAGATTAATTAAATTTAGATCTTGTTGACCTACATTTTTTACTTTACGCAATTATGATTTTTAATTAATTTATACCGTATAAATTAATTAAGAGTATTACATTAGTTAACAGAGAACGATCGATGAAAGGCAAATGCGGATGCTGCAGTGAGAAAGGTCTTAATGATGTCACAATGAGTTCTGCAACTGCTTTGATAACTGGTGTGGATGCTAGAAGAAATATAGGCCTATATTTGCAGAAAAGGCTTACTTTAAAGATGGGGTCGTGGAAGAGTTTCTGTATCAAAAGATCGATTCATTTTTTACTCTTCTTTGTATTTGTACATTATTTCTTATTATTATTTTGCTAAAAGAGAAGGGGATATACCCATCATTCATAAATAAATTCTAAAATTAACTATTGTATTGTGACGATCGAGCGGTTAAGGACACCAGAGCGGCACGCTCTGGTGTCCACTGATCGAAAAACTCCAGGAATTTTTCGGATGGTCCGTCCGGATATATCGGATTCCATCTTCACAACTAGGCTCATTGTGGGCCTGACCGAACTCATAGTGAGCATGCTAAAAAAGGCCCTCTTAGTGCCCACAGGGTAAAAAGATTTTTTAAAAAGGCTACCGGTAGTATTGAATAATCTAACACTTGACAATATGATGTTAACCTTTGTAAATAATGTTAAAATGTATTTCAAACGAGATTTATAAGTTGATAACATTATATTTATATAATTTTAATTTTTTTTTTCAGAATGGAAAATAAGAATTAAATGGAAAGGTTTATTCAAAAGTATCATATATCGATCTTTAGAGGTAATATATAATTCACAAAATAGATTTTTGCTATTTAAGAAATGACACAAAGTACTTCTAATAGTTGCTTAACTTATTTTCTTCGGCATGTTTTCTCTGGAGAAATTGTCTATGGCTTAGATTGCTTCTTATCATGCCAATGCGATTATACTCTGAAACTCAGAGAAAGATGGAAATTTTTTAAAACTTCGTATCAATATTTAGTCGAGTTTATTCTTTGGATACAATTTATTCTTTCTTTATTACAATTAATACCAGCGTTTAACAGTTATATTCCCTGTTCCGGTTGGTATATGATATCTAAAACGGAACTGTATGTTATTAAAATATTGATATCTTCTGTCGCATTTTTCTTTGTTTTGCATTTTCGCTGCGTAAAGCGAGCTAAGTTATATGTTTGTTTGAAAAATTCTGGTTATTCCGAAGAAGAATTAATATTATATAATATTTTCCAAAAGTTATTCGGTTTAACATTTTTTGTTATTATTTCCTCAGTCAGTTTTCATGCGATAAATATTATCTTCGTTTTTCCTAAACTACAATACTATAGTAAATATAAAAACGAAGCTATCTTTTGTTCTGTCCAGTATGGATTTTGGTCACTGATAATTACGGGTCAAACGACATACATATTTAATTCATTTGTTTTGTCCTCTTATTTAGTCTATAAAAGATATATAAAATTATCCGAAATGCTGAAAACAATGGCTTTAAATCCAGTTTATTCCAAGCGTTTTCTTGAAAATTTAATTAATAAGCATTGCGAATTGTGGCAATTCATCAATGAAGTAAATAATACGGGGGATATTGTTATTCCACTAAGATATTCGGTGAATGCATGGGTCACTTGCCTTTGCGCCTACGTGACCGTTTTTTTAGATATGGATCGTCATATGAGAATATTCATGGCATTGATAACAACGATGGGATTTATGGTTTGTTTGATAATAGCCTTATCATTATCTTCGTTAGCATCAGCGGTAAGTTTTATCCTAATTAGAAAAATCTTTGTTTTTAGAGCTCAAATGATGATAAATTTAATGTCATATGTCTTACTTACTTCTTAGATGGAAGATTCGTTTCAAGAAATTAGGATATTCTCGTCAGTTCGGTTGAAGCTCAAATACAAATTAAAAGTAACGAAAATAAATTGGTTAATTAAATAGCTTAAAATTATAAATGATCAAATAAATATGTGTTCTTGTAATTAACAGTTGTTAAATTTCATGAAAAGATTTGCAAAAGCGTCTCTTAGAATGACTATTGGAGGATATTTTGACGTAACTAAAAAATTTCCTATTAAAGTAAGTATTATAAATTTTAAATGTAAAACAGAGTTATATTGGGATGATTTCAGAAATATTCTGTTTTTCAATCATTGTATAGAATAATATTGCTTAATATTGATAGATATAGTTTAATATGCAATATAATTCTATTTCTAAATACTAGTTGCGCTCGTGCGAATTACTCACTTATATAAAAAAAATAAAATATTGAATGTAAAAAATCAGTTATTTGGGAAATTATTGCGACCGGACAGGGAATTATTGAAAGTGAATCTTTGCGACTGGTTTAGTCGCGAATATAAATAGTTTTTGGGATTCTCTTTCATTTCTAAGTTAGTTTGCTTTTATTTTTATACGCTTTTTTATTAACTTTGTCTGTTTGTTCAGAGAAAATCTTGTAATTCAATTTTCACCCACTTCCCAATTTCCGATCTAATTGAAACTTTGCATACGTTGTATTTCCGATAACAATAAATTTTCTTGAGTTTGCAAACAATTTTAGCAATTTGTAAAAAGTTAGCAAAAAAATAAAATAAAATTTATAAATGAAATCTGATAACAAATGGCGCTACACGTAGCTTAACAAATCGTGAATACCCTTTAAGTCGTGCAAAAGCAAAAAGGTCAAACTTGTCTCTGTTTAGTCGTACTCTCAACATTAAATCTTGTAACCCAATTTTCACCCACTCCCTAATTAAATACTAAGCCAAGAAAAATTTCTGTAATTTAGTATTAATTCGATAGTTCTATGTATAAAGCTGAAAAGTATAAAATAATATATTATACCTGTATATATATAATGTAAAGAAACGCTTTTTATTAACATAAATGCACTAAAAAGTAAAAAAAAAAAAAAAGCATTTTTTCAGCTTTCACAATATTCTTGGTATATTCTAATATTCTATATAGGCCTATATCTATATTCTCACAATATTCTAAGGCAACTCAACACGCGAGCGATCTACCAAGAGTGATGTCTCCCTGGAAAGCTTTTTGGGGAAATTGGCACTTTTAGGTTTTAGACACATGAAGAAAACCCGAAAAAGGTCACACGACCAGCCTCGTTGGTTAGGCACGAACGGAACTCTTGTTTTGTTTCATTTTATTTTATTTTTTATTTGTTATTAGGTTATGTTGTGGCATTTTTTTTTTTTTTTCGTGACTTTTTAAAACTATTTCTAATATCTAAAATGCCTTTTATTTTAGATGTCCAGCTTTTTATATTCCATTTCTTCATCTTTGTTAGAGTTAAGAAGTCTGCAAGATAAACAAACCAAATGTACAAAACCTTCTAAGAATGATACTTTTATTTTTCTCTGAATTGTAAGAAAAAACTATTCCAGAATGAAATTTATTTAATGCAATAAAAGACAAAAAATACAAAAATTATTCTGAGAAATTTCAAAGAAAATTCAAATAATTTTGGGAAAAAATATTGGAATTTATTTCAGTCAAAAAATGTTTTGATGACATTCCCAATTAAAATATGTCTCCAGCATATATGATTTATGAAAAAAAAGCACAGTATTTTGTATTGTAGTAGATAGCTGTTATGAGAAACTTAATAATTTCTATATTCAATAAAATTTTAAAAAATAATAAATGTTCATTGTCGATAATTATAATATCGCAGTCGATTTAGCAAAAAAAGGTTTTAATAAAGATAAATTTTTGAGAATGTTTCTTTAAACGGCATATATATATTCAAATATAAAAACAATCTTCTTATTTGTGCGGTACGTATTTAAATTTCACTAAAATAAACAAATGTTAATATCGTTAGAGATATACATAATAAATTGTCAACAGTTTTTGATACTTTAGATGAAAAAATGCTTACTTAAATGTTATCCAATATAGTGCTGCTCAAATTTTACGTTCACGAACTAGATTTTTTTACTCCAATCCCTCGCGGACCAGTATTATTACGAAATTAAGTAAAACGGAGAACGAAGTTCAAATGCTTTTCTTTTAAATAATTTATAAAGCAATACACGTGACTCTTTCCACTTGGCACTGAAAAGCGACACCATTACTGATTACCATCCGGCTGGGTTAACACAATCACTGAGACATGTGTTTTCACTTGTTGTATACAAGGAATCTGACTGACGTTTCGTGTGCTTCTTTTTGATTTGGATTTCACTGAAATCCAAATCGAATGGATTTCACGATTTCGATTTCACTGAAATCCAATCGACGAATTCGATTTCACTGAAATCGTGAAATCCAAATCGTGGTAGAGATAATTTGTGCTATTTTTCATTGTAAACGGCAGGATCGACATGGCCCAGGAAAGTCCTTTCGACTTCCGAAGAATCGTGAAATGTGAGTTCACAAAATTAATATTTTGTTTTATTGATTGTCAAAAATTATAAGCTTAACTGTGATTTTCAACATTATCAGAAATTATAAAACATTATACTGTATATTGAAAGATGTTCGATGAAACGTCAAGCGTTAAAACATGCATAGATTTTTTTATTATGTACGTTTATCTCATGTATACGTTTGAGTAACTTAACATCCAATTCAACAGAGTAAAAAAAGCAGTTCAAACGTTTTCGGCCTACACCAAAAGCCTTCCTTCCTAAGGAACAGCCGACTTTCAAAATAAAATTATATCCTGTTATTCATATTTCCTTTTTCACGCAGAGAACACGAAGAACAGAATGGAATTACTCCCTGCGAGAATCGAAACTGGGACAATTCTAGCTTCCATTATAATTGTTCCAGTTTCGATTCTCGCAGGGAGTAATTCCATCCTGTTCTTCCATTCTCTGTGTTCTCTTTATTGTAACAGGCCTTCAGGCTGTTATATGTTTCCAGACTATAAGAAAATGAAAAAAGAGTAAACGTCTTTTTTTTTAACCGACATAGTGTACGTCAGCCATGTTGTTATCTCAAGTGAAGTTCATGTGTAAAACTGTTTATTTTAATAAAAAGTAATAGCGACAAATTCTTCTATGCCACCACTCGACAGATCAACTTTTGAATTTTACATAATAAAGACTAATTCAATATTATTCGTTTTACATTATCTTAAGAATTTCAGTTAAACCGAATTAATTTTCTATTCTTGACTGGATAGAAAATGCTGAACTAATGGAGATATAAAAGTAATAAATTTCTTCTTGAACGTTATCCGGGGTTGACACGATGTTCTATTTTGTTTATCTACTACACTTTTATCATTTTCAATTTCTGAAAATTTATTATTATATATACCACTTAAAATTAATGTTTTCATTAATTTATTTATGAAATGATATATTAAAATTATTACGTGACAATAATTTATCAATGAATTGTTCGAATCCATTTTCGAATTTGTTTATTTCATCTTCCTCCTTTGTAACCTAATTGTGTGAAGATAATTTTTAACAAAAGATAATTTTGTTTTCTGAATTAAATTTAATTAATACCATTTCAAGAATCTTTGTAATTGAATTAGCTTTAGTACCGGTATTTAAAGAGTTATAGCACTGTAAAAAATATGAATAATATTTTGTAACATTAAACATTCCAATAATAATAAATTTTATAGAAATAAAAATACTCTTCCAGTTCCTGATGCATTACGCAAGATCTGAATATAAAGAAACAATTGAAATTAATTTTGTGAGAATTATACAATTTATTCTATATTTATTTTCTAAATTAGTATACCTTAAATATACAGCAGTAGATATAAGCTAAGAATAAGCCCAATAGAAACGGCACTACTGTTTTATAACTTGGAAAAATTCCAAATGAGTTAAATATCTTGTACAATAGATGGAACATTTCCTGTAACATTAAAATATGGTTATTCCCTCATTTTGCATTTATAATTATATTTTATTTTAAATTATATATAAAAAATATTTAATATAAATTATTAAATATGCATACCTGGTGCGATGAATTCAAAAAATTTGAAAATTATTTGTTTCGATTGAATCTTTAATTATTTGAATAGTAACAAGAATAGACACACATTGTTATGCATACAATTGTCAATATTTTAATTTAAAATAAAACAATCATTTTAACTAATAATTTATGATTAAAATTTAAAAATAAATTGTGGTTCACTAATAGTGATAGCTTTGTCAATTGTGAATAGTTTGTTTATTTCTTCCAAAGTTGGAAAAATTCTGGGAGTTTTATAGCTATACATTTTTAGTTTACATTTTAGAACATTTTGAGAATTGGATAAGCCTATTTCTGTTGTTATAGTCTATCATAAAATAATATTAATTAATGTAAAGTTTTATTTTTGTGTGGTTATTTCAATAACAATCATGTAATATTCTGGTAAACTTGAGAAAGTCGATTGTACGAAGTATTATCTGATACAAGAATTGATTTTGTATAACAAGGACATACAAATCGTATAATACTTAGTTTTAACGTTTATTTGGTAGGTAAATAGCATGTGTTTAACTACCAAATAAATGTTAGAAGTAAGTATTACACGATTTGCATGTAGCGACGTTCTCCTTTTTTTTATAAGTTTGTAGTGACGCGTAACACAGTTGGATCAGATATTGATACATTAGAGTAAGAGTTTTCGAGTGGTACAAGATGTTCATGGAAAGCAGTGAACATGTCAAAGATGAGCCATGCTCTGGTAGACCATTCACTTCAACTGATGAACAGCACGTTGCTCAAATCAGAGATTTGGTGCTCAATGATCGTCGTATGACAATAAAGGACATTATTGAACATGTTCCAGTATCATTTGGATCTTGCCAAGCAATTTTAAAAGACCATTTGGGCTTGCAGCTCATCGCTTCTCGAGTCATCCAAAAACAACAAAGTGTTCGAATGGCCCAGAAAATGCTTTCTCAGGACGAATCGTTCTTAAAAACGCATCATTACGGGTGATGAAACTTTTGACACCGAAACTGCTTGACAATAGAGTGAATGGCTCTCGAAAGGTGAAGCGAGACGAAAAGATTACATCAAAGTCAGTCAAAAATAGTGACCTACCAGTGTTCGAGCGGTCTTCGTACCCTGAACACTGGGAGTTCGGTCATGGGTTAGCGCCTCTCTCGGACGGGCTGGCCACGTGGAGTTTTCCGGGTTTTCTCCACGTCTGTAACGCATAAATAGGGGCCAGTTTCCCTTGAAAAGACCTCCCGGAACGCATCCCCCTAAAGCCCTAGTCACACTATGCGATTTCTAGCCGGGCAGGCGACTGCAACTGCAACAAGCGCGAGTCGCGCGCGTCTTCTCATGGTCACACATTATTTGTTGACGTTGCAACTCGGAAACACGTGGCCCTATTATAAACCAATAAAATTACAGTAACTTGTTTTTGACTACTTTCGTGAGTTTGCCGATATTTTACGTTCTACTTCAGAGTATTTACGGAATTTTAGCCATTTTTCTTATTAAAATAGCAAGCAGTTCCTTTTCTGGAATGAATAAAAGAAAAAAGGCGATTATTTTAATAGAGCTGGCGAAAATACATGAAAAGATAAAATCTTCGATAAAACGAAGAATTAAAATCCCACAGGTATTCGTGAGCCTGAATAAGCTCGATCAATCTCGATTCTGTAAAAGTATTAATCCTCTGACTATCCGCCATGATGATGAACTATTTTCAATGTTGTCACTGTATGACGTGGCATAAAGGCGTTTGTTGATTGGATGCGCGTTTGCAATCGTCGCGAGTAGAACAAACTTTTTGTTTCTAGTTGCGATTGCAGTCGCGCCGGTTTTCGAAGGGGGATTACTAGTTAATGGGAACAGCCGTCGCGGTTGCAGTCGCCTGCGCGGCTGGAAATCGCATAGTGTGACCAGGGCTTAAGCAGATCGCCCAAGTGTTGCTTTGCCATAACTAAACAAACAGTCAAAAATCAAGGTCGTGTTGATTGTCGTAGTGTTATGAATCACTAATTCAGATTGGCTAAACTGCCAACAAAGAATATTATTTGAGCGTTTTACGTCATTTGTGTGATGTAATTCATAGAAAATCTGATTTTTAGTGAGAAAACTAAAAATTTTGCACCAAGATAATGTATGATAACCGCTCACAATGCTTTTGTTCGTGAATTTTTGACCAAAAATTCAACAAATACGGTACTGCATGCTCCTCATATATCCTTCTGCACCATGTGACTTTTTCCTGTTTCCTCGACTAAAATTTTCGTTTGGCGGTTACCATTTTCAGTCGATTGATGCTATAAAACAAAATTCGCTGCGAGTCCTAAAATGATTTTACGAAAACGACTAAAGCAGGTTTCGACGATTAGAAAGAACGTTGGTATAAGTGCATTGCAGAGGAATGGGATTACTATGAAAGGGACAAACAAATTTTGATGAATAAATTCTAATCTTGCTTTTTATTAAATCATTCCCGATACTTTTTGATCACAGGGCTATATATATTTCTCTCTACGTGTATTTGTTCTCCCAGAAAACATTGCCGTTATGTCGCATTGTGTCATTCCATCAAATCAAACTAACCAAACCAGTGAATAAAAGTCATAAGGTTACAAGCAATAACTATGAAGAGTACTTTTCTATAGTATTCACGCTTTTTGCAAATGTTAATTTATTTCTAAAAAATCTTATGGTTCTAGTGTTTCGGTTTGATTCCCGATCTAAGCAATGTCGTACAGTACGTATCCTTACATATAGAAAGGTTGATCGTGTCTGATTTACAACGTTACGATTTACAAATATCTGGTTTTATGTCAAAATATCTGAATGCATGTCGTCTCCAAAACATATAAATTGATAATTTTTTTATAGTCGGAGTAAAGAAACTTTACAATAGTGAAATCAGTTTGGGCGGACAAATTCGTTTTGATGAAATTTTCTGTTTCTCACTACTTTTGGCCCACCAATGACAAGCGTATTATTTAACCCCAACCATCAACGAAAACGAATTTCCACTGGAAAATGACAGCATTCGGATTGATCATCGCACAATTCCGAATTAAAATAATCCAATTAACAAACTTCCGCCGTGATTTACTGCGAAACCGAAATACGTCGAACATCACGTGACGAGCGGCCGGCCGCGCCTGCTCTTTAAATAACTCCAGTTACACCATACGACGATTAATTCTCTACTATGCAAACTCTCCAGTGTTCTCCCGGCTTCATCATTAAGTTATCTCTGCAATGTAATCTTCTATGTAATTGATCAATGTATACAGCTCTTTCACTCTTTGCCACTGTATTCACTGCTACTACTGTACTCGGCCATTCTTATCTGTTAAATTCGCAAAGCACTGCCATTGTAAATAATATTATGTACATAAGTTTATTTTGTAGCCCGAGCTGGGCATTCTGTTTAAAGGTTATGCTTATATTTTGCTCTGTACTATTTCTGTTTACGTCTATTAATAAATTCATATGCGCGTCAGGGACCCTTCCTCTTCTATCTTCCTTCCTTCCCACTTTTCCATCCCCTTTGGCCCCTGCCACCAATACTTTCTCTTACGTCTACTTTCTTCTCACTTCTTTTCACCCACTTTACGGAAATACCTCTGAGTAACGCCGTCTATTCTTTACTATAATACTATAATAATAATAATACCATACGACGATTAGTACATTATCTTTTATTATTCAAATTTTATAGAAAAACCGCACACCGTGCAAATATTATTTTAAAACATTTTCAATTAATTATTGAATTCGCCGACAAATACAAACACTCGAAAATCGTTAAATCGCCGATAATTTTCGAAAATTCTGGCTTTCTGCGAGTGCAGAGTTTCTTTTTCATTCTAATAGAACGAAAGAGCACCTTCTTCCCGCTCGCGGAGCTTTTTTTTTTTTCAATTTTTAATAATTTAAAAATTTTATTTTAAAATTAAAAAAATTATTTCTTGTTAACAATAGAATGAAACTATTGTTACAACACATGACGATGGCAAACGTCGCAGTTATTTCTTCTGCTTTCTTGGGTGCGGACGTGCCTGACTTTGCTCTTGTGTTCTGATGCCTTTTCGGAGCCTGTTTGCTTTTTTGCTCGAGACCGTTTTTGTTCTTCTTCAGGTAAGCATCTTTTACTTTATTCAATATGGCAGCCGTCCGTTTCGGAATTATCTGCAAAGATTCAAACCACTGAAACGAACTCCGTTCGAATTAGGCTTAACTCGCAATTAGCCGTTTTATGTTCTAATTACGATACGATTTCGTTTAAAGCGAATCGTAATTAATATTATATATTATAATTAATCGAATATTCGATTAAATAAATATTACGAGAGAGCAGCGAACAGAATTTCGTTCCTTTTTACATTTTCGAATTTATTTCGTTATTATGTACGTAATCCGTGACGTAAGATTTAATTCTCGAGACAAATACGTAAAATATCCGTTTCGGTCGACTTTAGAATTGAAATAAAATTATCCACAGATTTATTTCGATACGAATCCAATAAATAAATAAATTATCGGCGGGAGTGTCGTCCGATTTCCTATGTTGGGGACAAAAACGCGATTCCATTGGATATATATTTTCATTCAACGGCCAATAGAGATCACGTTCTCTGCTGACCACGTGATCGATTAGACGCCGAGTTAAATCTCGCGTGGGGTGACCCAAATGTGACAGATCGCTTGAACGAGCCGTCAAGAAGCCAGACTTGTAATTTGCGTATATAAGCAAAAAGATCTTATTTTGTAATAGAGTATTTGAAAACGGCGGCAATGTTTTGGTCTTTGACGACGTTCGACCGACTTTTGGGCCACCCCGCATAAGAGGTGTTTCACACTATGACCGACTGGACCGATTGGTTCAACCCGACCGATCCTATAATCGGACCGACTAGTAATAGAAGCATTCACATTGAGTACGATTATATGTCGGTGGCCGATATGTACGGTGGCCAATCGGAACGGGTGTTAGAAATCGTTTTAAGTTTTTCTAATTTTTAAAAATATTTTTGTAATCTACTTGGTTAAACTTTGCGGAAATTATCTTACTTCGTTTATAAATTCTTCCGAAAAGTCTAAATAATACCATCTTTTCCCATTACGTCAATAATGTTTTTTTAANAATATAAAGCGGCATGCAAGATTTACAGGCGGTTTTTTGCGCTTTTGCGGGAAATCGAACATATTTTTATGCTCATGTAAAAATTCTCTGGAAACGTCTGGAAACGGGAGACCTAATTCTTGCATTTTGTGAAAACGGGTAAGATTGGAAATAATGTAATTATCTTAATCTTCACTATCGTTACTTTTTGCCCACAAATAAAAAGCCAGCGAAGCGGGTCCTTGCAGCTAGTATATATATATAAATGGACGTGTGTATCCTTATATTTCACTTTTCCGCAAAAACTACACATCGCACGTGAATGGTGTTTGTATGTGGTAGTAGCCCCAAGTCTCCATTCGTGCACTATTGTGGTTGCGTCTCGATAGCTATAAGGGTACGTGAGATATGGGGCTGAAAGTGGTTGAAAGTGGTTTTCTATTTCGAATTTTATGTTCGAATTTGAATTCGAACATAAAATTCGAATATTGGTTCGATTATAGAACGATTGTAAACGTTCCAGAAACGTTGAAAATAGTTCGTTTGACTGGACGTGAACAGGAGACGTTCAGAAATAGAATCGGGACCAGG